TGATGTGCAATGTCGTTCGCGGCGTTGAAATTTTAATTCATTTTCTCCTCATTTCATTGCTACCTTTTCCTGCTGTCCTCTGCTTATATATATATATATATATATTTCCTTTCTGTTCTCTCTTCACGTACTGTGCTTTCTTCTCTTCACTTTTATCAATACAGCCAGCTGAATATGTTTCAACCCCCCCATCAGTTCAAAACCGCCCCTTTTTAAACGCATTGAATGTGGCACTTAAGACGTTCTTGACTTCAGACGCGCAGATCATGATCACTTGAAAATTATAACTTGTTTTCCATATCCGCAAAAAATCTTTAATATTCATTCATTTCTGTCTCCCCCTTCGTCCTCCTCCTTTCCCCCCAGTTTAATTTCTTATTTTGTTCTATGTCCCACTACTTGCCATTTCGTTTAAAAAAATTCTCGTGCCTGATTAAGCTACGTCGTGTATCCTCCCCCACATTTCTTTATATCTTACTTCGGTTATATATAAACTTCAAGAATAAAGGAAAAAATACAGTAAAATATTCATAAATATCGAATTAGTCTGCTCCATCGAGAATTCTTCATATATAGCCTACTAGTAAAAAACATATTTCCTTCTGAATAGCAAAGACAAGAAATATTCTTTGCTGTGTATTCGTGTATCTCTCGAATTGCTAATTCTAGTTCACACGCTTCCCGTAATGGAGCACTGCGAATACACTTATCAAAATATGAAACATATTTAATTAAAGAATGGACGTTACTCCTCCACAACTTCATTTCTGGTATGTTTCAAAATTAAATTATCAATATATTATTTTATTTTCTATTTCTAATTTATTAATATTCATTTCGTCTTTGTATTATTTACTTTACAGGATGATACAAAAACAACAACAAAACGTTCACCCACACAAAATCATGTTAAGCACGACGTACATACAGAACAAATTCGAATACGATATTAAAAATAAAATACAATAAAATCTGGAAGAAAACATCATTTGAAATCTGATAAACATCTGACTAAAAGTTGCATTTAAGAAATTATATTTAAGTTTAAGTTTATATAATTTTATACACCTGAAGATGGTTCTTTTAGAACTGAAACATGTCGTGTAAAAAGTGATGATCTAATGTAAATCGAACATTTCGATAGAGAACATCATTTAATATATTTTAAATATTTAAATGTTAATTATAGTAATATTTTAATATTTAATAGAAATTTTATTGTGATTAGACTGACAAGATTTAAACAAATTAAACAAAGAATGGAAACTTAAAACTTCGTAAAATTGTACTTACTTCTCAGACGTTGGTGGGAAATTTCTGAAAAGAAAAGATAATTATTATTAATTATTTATTCCAGAGGATAATTGGTTTATATGGCATGATAATATTAAAATGAAGTTTTTAAAACGAGAACATGGGCGTGTTAGACTGGATTCTAAAGGCTTTCGATATTTTTCAGTTCCGGAAATCAAATGATATCCAGGAACTGTATTGAAATATAACATCAATAAACATTTCAATATAGTTTGTTTCAATCTTTGATTATCCTTATTTTGATTGTATTTCATTATAAACACTATAAACTCTTCATATGACAGCTCACGGGAGAAACTCTTGAGACTTCACAAGTGACAGGCTTATCAAACCAGAGTTCATCCCAAGGGTCGGCCTACAATGAATGCAATTAAAATAAAATAATTCGAAATGTGAGTGTGAATCACATCAATAAACCTTATCACCTTATCTTGGTTCAGAAAATGAAACTTATAATTTCATTTTACGCCCGAGTTGTTGCAATGTTTGAAATTTACTGTCTGAGATTAGATATAAAAACATTTGTAAGAGAAAAGGGGTGTGGGAGTTTTAGTGTAGTTGAAGTATTCGATAGTAGCAACGAACTGTATTTTTTTTTTAAAAAAATAACTAATCCTTATCTCCCAGCTTCTACATAGCAGCTGATACTACAGATTACAAAAGATCAGGCCAATATAAACTTCCCATCCATTTCCATGTTCAATCAAAACAGAAAATAAAACCTTGGCATTATTATATATATATGCCTATCTCTCTCAAAAACCTAAATATTCCAATATAAATCTCCAGGAAACAAGACTACGAGACAAGAGGGAAGTGTTTCGAGGGTTAAAAGCTGTCATCCCAAGCCATAGGCCTAAAGCTTGACGTCAAAAGTCTTTCTGTGTTCAAAAGCTAGGTTCATCACTGACGGCAGAAGAGACGACACAGAGGAATTCGAAAATCTAACCCCTCGCTTGCCTCTGATATCCTTCAACAATCTCGTCAGTTCTCTTAAAACTCGCCACCACCACCACCACCACCAACCCCTCTCTTCCCATCAAAGCTTCTCTCGTCTCTAGCTCGAGGTGGAAGCTTCGTCAATAATAATCAAATCTATTGATAATTATTCCGTTGCCAAGGCAACGCTCATGCATGACGCGTCCTCTACGACACGAAGTGACAACAATTAGTATAAATTAGAAGAGGGATGTTTCTGCTTGGTGATGATTGTGACTACACGCGTAGTATGTGTCTGAAAGATTGATATTCTAACACCACCAGATCCACACGTACTTCAGCGAACCGATGTTTGAAACCTGATCCACGTCCTAAGTACACAGCGCTAGAGAATTTTAAAATTTATTTATAAACATCTTTGTGTCACATTAACATGAAAATTCAGACGATTATAAACAAACTGGCAAACTTTAAATTCTTTAAGAAGACAACGAATATTTTTGTAGGGTACACAAAGGGTCTGGTATTAGAATATTGAAGTTCAAAATTACTAATAACAAAACTGGTCTTTGAAAACGATTCTGAACCCTTTTAATCCATACTTAATTTTCACAACCTTGTTCATCTTATAGTAATATCTTTGACTGTAAACAAAATATATTGTATAAGACGGAAACTCTAACTTTTATATAACCCATGTATCTGCTTCATGGTCTTCCAAGTGGGCGTCTTCTATTACGTTTCTCATATACATCTTACTGCAGTCTCATAGATTTTACTTCCCTAACAATTCTAGGCGAACTGCGTTAATCACAAATTCCTTTCGCAAGTTTTATCCTAAATTTCTCGTTTACGTCATATTTCTTAGATCTCAAAAAAATTAGAACTACTTGTTTCTAAAAACTTTTAATGTATGTTACTCAACGTGAGATAATCACGACTGACAAGCGCACAGATTTTAATTACTACAATTATTATTTCGCAACCTGGAATGTGAAACTACTCTTTAAGGGCAAAATAAATAATTTATCTCAAAGTATCGGAGTACATTTCACTACTCGAAACGTCATTACCAGAATCTGTCTCGATCTGGTACAGTCAGCAGCACACAAGAAAGTCACGAAGGTAGTTCTTATGTTAAACATTTCTAAAACCGGATCTGATCTAAACATTACTGGTATGGTGGAATTCTGAATTATTAATAAAAGATTTGGGCAATTATCTAACCTAGACAACTTTAGTTTCAAATGACACAGATGACATTGTCGATTCTAAAGAGTCCTGACAATGATTTATTAAGATTTATGTCTTCTGGGTTATTGCGCTGTGTAGTCTGGTAGATGTTAACCAACGTTTCAGAGGTCATACTGCCTACAGTATGACCTCTGAAACGTTGGTTAACATCTACCAGACTACACAGCGCAATAACCCAGAAGACATAAATCTTAATAAATCATTGTCAGGACTCTTTAGAATCGACAATGTCATCTGTGTCATTTGAAACTAAAGTTGTCTAGGTTAGATAATTGCCCAAATCTTTTATTAATAATTCAGAATTCCACCATACCAGTAATGTTTAGATCAGATCCGGTTTTAGAAATGTTTAACATAAGAACTACCTTCGTGACTTTCTTGTGTGCTGCTGACTGTACCAGATCGAGACAGATTCTGGTAATGACGTTTCGAGTAGTGAAATGTACTCCGATACTTGTTTATTACAATCTGGATTGCTGAGTTTATGGACTTTGTCCATCGCCTGGTATTCTAAAGACACGTTACGTTTCAAAACCCGGATCTGTCTCCGCATTTGGGTGTAAGAAAGAGATATTCTGTTGGGTCCTTTAGAAAGAGCTAACCTCAAAAACGGGCCATCTGTCTTCAGACACTGTATTCTCTAAGTATTTTTGTTCAGAAACGTCAGTTCTTAGTTCGGTACAAGAAGAGAATTAAACTACAACAAATATCTGTGTAATTTGAAACCGGAGTTTTTAAAGTCAAGAAGGCCTAAAGCAGCTAGGCACTTAACCACAACTAAGAAAACATAAACGAGACATGAATATGTAGGGGGACATGGAGGTAGATCCTAGCACTGAACGCTTATGAGTGGATAAAGAAACATCAAGGTTACCATTGGAGACTGAAAATTGAGTTGGCCACAGAGCCTTGTTTAATGGAGTTGGTTGTAGTGCTAATTGCTAAAGCTTAGGTTGGTTTAAACCGTAATTAGTATCCGTCCTTATGAAGTAATACGTTATAAAATGCTAACATTAAACCTAACAAAATATGAATTATAAAATGCTTAAACACGCAAAATATTATGTGTATAATATAAAATATAACACAGAACTTGTTTCTTTTGTTAACAATCCTTCTTCAGTACGGTATTAATCTAACGGAGTACGAAAAAATTCTTACTTGACTGGTACATGGTAAATATAAGACTATAAATTCAATTAGTTTATTCCAATTTATTTCATGGAAGTTCATATACAGCAAACAAGACGACCTGAAATTTAAAAAAAAGTTAGTCAAATAACTGAACGGTATACGTAACATCACACTTTTAATTTATGAGAATTCTGTACAAATTTTTTATTCGCTAAGCCACTTCCAGGGATTGAAAAATGTCCTCAGACAGAGGCACGGTATTACTTCAAAAGATATTACCACTATTATCCCTGTTATTCATTCCACGATAACAAAGAACTGAATTCTCGAAAAACCACCATAAAAGAGGAGAGAGAAAAATCCCGGATTTTTATCTTTCTTATTCTACACACACAAATTAAATTTCATCTCCCCACCAACTTCAGAGAAAACTCTTGAGTTTTCCTGCGTATCAGATGTGCAAGCATTTCCTTTCGGGCTAGCTTTCCCGAGCAGCATCAATATCCAACAATAATTCATTGATGACTTAATTTAAAGTTACCATGACGACAAGTTTTCAATATTCCGCGCGTACCACTTGCTTCCACAGTGTTCTGCTTAAGATCAAGTACACTGCCTAATCACAATTGTATTATTCTTCACACTGAATAAATATATAATAGATTAATGAAACATTTCCCGTATTAAGTATACTAGCCAATTACAGGCAAACACAGAAATAAAAACCAATATTGTTACAAAAAGAAAAACATGCAAGAAAACACTATAATTAAAAGGGCTAAATAATATGCAATAGCAAAATACACTCTTTGATAAAGATGCCAATGCTCTTACAGACTGCAGTGGCAGCAGATAATAATAATAATAATATTTGGCCATCCCGGGCGAACACAGAAAACCGTCATTCTAGGAACATCATAAATTATTCGAAAGACGCTGGCACAAAATAAAATTATATACTATATGTACCGTGCCACGGTGGTCTAGCGGTCAGAACGCTGGCCTTGTAATCCTGGGGTCTCGGGTTCGATTCTCGGCGGTGCCCGAATTTATAACTTGTGTTGGGCAAGGCCGTGGTCTAGGCAACACAGAGTTTTCCTCCGTGGCATCCCAACAATTACTCCATTCACACACAGAAGAAGGCAATGGCAAACCACTTCTGGATCATCTGCCAAGAACGTATATGAACAGGTCCCAGTCCGAGAAAAAGATGGAAGGATCCTGTTCATATGGACCTAGCGTCAGACAGAACACTAAATAATAAAAAATAAATTAGTAATGAACCAAAGGAAGAAATAAAGAAAACATTATTTCTTGAAGAACTGAAGACAATTCGCGGCTCTGCAATCCTTATAAGATGTTGTCTGCTTCAGATATGGGAGGTTTCCTGAGCCTTATAGACATTTGGTACGACTCCTTGGACGAGGGTTACGCCCTTCTCAAGAAGACCTCTACCTACAGAGAATAGTACGCGACAGAAGGATGAGGACGAATTTATATGCCTTGAATGTGATTCAAACTCATGGTCTCAGTGTTTAATCGATCGAGGTTCACGATCAAGATTGCACGATTGTAATCTGTAATAATACTATTATATCCCCGCTAAAATAATGAGGAGATGGTTTGACTACCTTGTACAAATTACGTCTTTGTTCTCAGCATTCGCTTGGGGTATT